ATTTACTAGTGATGGAAAATTGGAGGATGAGATCGACCGGCGAATTGGAGTAGCCTACGGCATTGTGCGTGAATTAGCCCAGACCATTGCGTTTAAGGCAGAGCTGAGTCTGAAGGTTAAACTCTCGTGTTCAAGTCGATGTTCTTCGCTATGCTTACCTACGGCCATGAGTCATGAACACTGACTGAAAAACTTCGATCCTGAGTTCATGCGTCTGACGTGGACTTCTTAGATGAGTCGCTTGCCTTACTCGTCTAGACATGGTCCGGACTATAAACCTTGGTGTAAAGACGCTGCTTCTTCAGTTTGAGAAGTCACACCTGCGATGGTTTGAGGACTTGTTGCGAATGCCTCCAGAAAGGAAGGCGAAGCAACTATTTCTTGCCCAGCCGACCGATGGAAGGCACAGGGGACCGAAAAGCTTAGCATGGTACAAATATATGGAAGGAATCTGTTTCAGCCTCCCATTGTCTTCTGCCGAAGCTCAGAATCTAGCACAAGATCGGGAGCATTGCAAGCACTGTCATTAATCACCCAAGTGACCAATTTTGTTTGCGTTGTGTATGAACAAACCGTCTATTTGTTCAGTTTTCAGTATGTCTGGCAATACTTGAATAACGACCAATAAGGATTCATAGCGGAACTTTGAAAACTTGATTCTCTGCGTTCCAGGCATTCGATTTCGATCGATGATTTTCTTGTGACGAAAATGAAAATGTCATTTTATGCAAATCTGTGTTTTTCAGGATCATTTTTCATAAGGTCACCAACCTAATGTCAAGTGTAAGCCTACGGAATTTAAAATGATTTTTCACCGACTACGTTGGTAATATCAATGACGGTATTGCATTTTGCATTCAGCATGGAACGTCGTATTTGGCATTAGAAAAGGTTTTTTGTCGAACGCCTATTCATCTGCGAAATTTCGTGTTGAATAATGGGCAGTAACAGTTCAGGGACCTGCTGCATTAGATATCGGAGCGGTCGGCCTCCGTAAACTTTACACTACCCTTACTTTCCTCAAAGTATCCTAGTGGCCTCGCTGACATTTCAGCTCGCACCGAGCCCCATAGATTATCTGGCTAAAGGCTGCCTTTAGTTCTATACCACCACAGGGTGTGAGTAGAAGCGAGGTGAGTACAACTAATCTGCTGTTCCTAGGTGTTTCTCCGGCGTAGAGGTGTCTTGTAACGTCATAGTTTCTGGGCGGCCAGCGCTGAGGGCTCGGAATAATTAATGCTTAGTAAATGAGGGACCAAACACTTTGCACACATGCCCTGGCGGCGCTTTTGAATAACGATTGCTACCGTTACGTCATGACTTG